ATTTATTGCTTTTGTGCAATACACTATGCTGTAGCGAATTGACCCCCCCCCCTACCAAAATTTTTTTATTTTACCCCGGTTTTTTGCTTTTGTGCAATACACTATGCTGTTGAATATTAACCCCCCAAAAAAAATATTTGAAGAAATTTTCTTTTAATTTCTGAAATCTGAAATGAGAAAAATTGTCCCCCCTCCAATTTTTTTCACCTCCCCCATTTCCCTTATTCCCCAAAAAAATTCTTTCCCTCAAGATATGGTCAGTATGTCAATTCAAATTTCTAATGCAGTTTGCAACCAAAATTACCAATTTAAATACATCATAAAAGTTTTAAAATATAAAATGACATACATAGTCATGGCTAAAATTAATATTAATTAATAGTAACTGCTGAAAATAAATTGACAGCTAATCACCTCAAGACAATCATCATTGCTTAATACATAATTTACAAGCAGTGTAAGGGAGGTAATCAAACAGTGTTCTTTAATTTGAATTGGATTACCTCCCTTACACTGCTTTTAAATTGCCTCTATTGTCCTTTAACCAGAAAAACCCTTGTTTTTCCCCTTTTTTGGCCCCTTATTACTAAATGGTTTGAGCCATAACTCCCCAAAGTCAATCCTAACCATCCCTTTGTTGTATGGAAGTTTGTGATATAATTTCAGAGAGATTCATACACTTTAACACAAGTTATTGTCTGAAAACTACAAAAATGCTTATTTGGGCCTCTTTTTTGGCCCCTAATTCCTAAACAGTTGGGACCATAACCCCCAAAATCAATCCCAACCTTCCTTTAGTGGTTATAAACCTTGTGTTAAAATTCTATTGATTTCTATTTACTTATACTAAAGTTATTATCCGGAAACCATCTGTCTTCGGACGACGCTGACGACGACAACGCTGGACGACGACAACGTGATACCAATATACGACCAAAATTTTTTTAATTTTTGCGGTCGTATAAAAATTCCTGGAAAAAACATAGTTCTAATTATTAATATATTAAACATATTTAGAATATTTCAGTGTCAAGTCCTTTCGTGTACAAGTATCATGTGTATGAATCAGTCCATGGTCATGATGGTAGCAATTTACATTAAAGAAAAAAAATAAAATTTACCCTCATAAATTCAATTTAACCATCCTCTTTTCTTTGCTTTCTTACAAAATAGCTTTTCTTAGTTTAGTATGACGTCCATTTTCACTGAACTAGTACACATTTTTGTTTATGTGACAGCTGATTTTCTCGCTGTGTTGAAGACCCATTGGTGGCCTTTGACTGATTTTTACTCTTTGGTCGGGTTGTGGTCTCTTTGACACATTCCCCATTTCCATTCTCTATTTTATTTCTGTTTATGCCATACAGACAGAAGTAATACCTGGGAATAGTATACTAACTATAGTATGTCCCAAGTAATACACTTAAACAAGTGGTTTTTTTATTTCAATACTTGTACACTGCAAGTTATTTCAATGGTTGAGTTATATCCCTTAGACCTCAACTTTTTTTGTTGACTTATATAATTAAAATGTCAGATTTTCTTCTCGTCTCAAATTTCTCTTGACAAAATGTAGACTGCTGTAATTGAGTGTTTAACTGTCTGTCATTAATAGTTGTCTTGACTATTCATAATAGTGATTTCATGAACAATTAAATTTCACTTGTCCATGTTGTCTGTTATCTTCAAAATACTGCTAATTAACTATCCTCTAGGGAGCAATTTTTGAAAGCCCTATGCAGTTACTTGACATCTGTGCCAGTAGCTTCGTGTGTTTAGTAGGTTGAACTTTAGTTTATAAATTATTAGCAAACTAGATATTTTTTTTATATTTTAAAGAGATGTTTCTGTCTGCCAATTAAGGTTTGAAAAAAAATTACAAGTATATTATTCAAAAATTTTTGGAGAAATAAAGGGGAGATTATCCAAATCTTGAAATGAATATCAAAATCTTACACATTTTCTCCTACAAGTTAATCTATAAGTAAATATAATTTTCATCTTCCAGTAAATAAACATGACTTGTAAAACCAATCACATTCAATTTTGAATCCTGTTCCTTATTTGAAAGAAGAAGCAGTGTTACCACTGAATCCATGACAACTTGCCCCATTGCCAAATTGCCCCAGACCAATTCTGAACTCACCACAACTTTCTTCCATCTGTCCCAATTTCTACCAACTTGCCCAACTAATGAAAAGGGATAAATCCCACTGAATTTAGGCCTGCCATCTCGCCCCACTTATGAAAATAAAATTTCATCTCTTTGAATAAAGTTCTGCCATCTCGTCCCTCTTATAAAATAAATGGTGAATGTCTCCATAGGACACAAATGATGCCCCCCTGCTTGCATATCATATAAAGTTATAAAGGGACATAACCGAAGAACGGTACTTGTACTTGATCTGAGTTTTGTGGTAATAAGTATTGTGTATAAGTTTCATAACATTTGGTTGAGGCAAACTTAAGTTAGAGAACGGAACGAAAAATTCAGCAATTTTTCCGTTTGTAAATGGGCATAACATTAGAACAGTAAAAGTGACACCACCAAAATTCAAACTTGATCTGTATTTTGTGGTAATAAGCATTGTGTATAAGTTTCATACAGTCAGGGGTACTACTTGTACAAGTAATTTTTATTTACTTGAAGAAGTAAATATTAATATACTTATATAAGTAAATTTGTAGGATACTTATAATACAAGTGTATTTTATTTACTTGTATAGGTAAAGAAAAATTGGGCTTAGTTATGTCCCTTAGACATTCAGATTTTTTTACTTATACAAGTAAAAAAGTCATCCTATTTTCTTTTCTGGAATTCTTAGGAATTCGTATATGTAAGAGAATGATAATCCCTTTCTTCATGATTAAGTACGAGTGTTAGCGAGTACTTATCATGAAGTAAGGGATTATCATTCTCTTACAAACTTAGAATATTGTAAAGTGCTCAAGGCTCAAATGATCTCTTGATTGGTTTTACTCAGAATTAGTTTCATTGTCAGTGCAATGTTTATAATTTATGCATGACTTCCTTTTTAGGCATTTCATTTATGGATTAGTTTTAGTGATGTCAGGACTTTCTTATAATTTGGGAGTATTAAATAAAAATGCATTTTAGACATTAGGTGACACAACAATACAAAGAAAAAGGTAGGAATTGTATATGTTTCCTGATTGTGAGTATGAATGTAAATCATGTAATATTTTAGTGAGGAATTATCCTTTTTTTATTTACAGTTTAAATCAACAAATACATTTGAGTTACAACTAATTTTATTTCACAGCCAATATTTTGGTCCGGCTTTTTAAATCAAATACTATTTCATTATGTCAGGGGAATGTTCAAATAAAATGATTTTAAAAGTTTTAAATATATTCAAAAATTAAATTCCTGTTTTATTTTATTTTATCGGAACATTGGAAATAACTCTTTTTTCCCAACCGCTGGTCCAGTAATCAGAGTTTTGGGAAGCTAAAGATTTTGGTTGTTTTTGATTTTAAAACTTTTTTTTTTGTATTGCTTTGATATTGTTTAATTTTTAGTAATTTGAAGTTATTAATATTTTCATAATTAATTAAAGCTACCAATTTTACTGCACCAGTAAACTTCAACTTATTTTGATTTTTTTGTTTGTTTCACAATTCAACTTTTAGTCAGTTTTAATCACTGTGTGATAAATCCTTTCAATCTGATAAATGTGCTTTGGGGCAGTTGTTACTAATTTATAGAAACTCTTTGTTTTGAACTGAAAATAGACCCAAACAATAGGATAATCCTTTACTAAGAACATGATTTACATTCATTCTTCACAATTAAGACATCAAATCCTACAATTTCATTGGTCGAGAGCACTTTGCTATATTCTAATCTGCTCTAGTAGAAATTTTAATTGTCTGTCCTTTGCAGATGTCTTTACTAATCATTTAAGTGTAATTTCATGGACAATGAAAATCTCATTTGCCTGTTATCTTCAGAACACTGCTCATTTACAAGCCCCCAAGGGGCAATTTTTGAAGGCCTTGGGCAAATACTTAAGATCTTTGCGCAATCAGTTTTTTTGTTGAATTAATGAGATGAAACATTGAACTCTAATCAAAAATTGAGAGCTAACCTGAGAAAAATTGTTAAAGGCATGTTTTTACATCTCAAAACTTGAGAATTTTTGTGGGATTGTAAAAAAAAATTACTTTAATATACAAGTAAATTTTTTAGAAAATTAAGGGGAGATTATTCAAACATTATAATTAACTTATATAAGTATATTTTATTTACTTCTTCGAGTTAATAAAGATTACTTGTACAAGAAGTACCCCTGACTGTCATAACATTTGGTTGAGGCTAACTTAAGTTAGAGAACGGAACCGAAAAATTCAGCAATTTTTCCATTTGTAAAAGGGCATAACTCTAGAATGGTTAAAGTGACGCCCCAAAATTTCAAAATTGATCTGTGTTTTGTGGTAATAAGCATTTTGTATAAGTTTCATAACATTTGGTTGAGGCAAACTAAAGTTAGAGAACGGAAACCAACTTTGGGATGTACGCACGTCAGACGGACGAGGGTAAAACTTAATGCCCCCTCCGCTACGGCGGGGGCGTAAAAAGAGTTCAATCCCAATGAATAAACCCCTGCCAACTATCTCCACTAGTAAAAAGAAGTTTATTCCCGCTGAACTGAGATCACATTGTACCAACTTGCTGATGAATAAAATTAAAGGTCTGTCAACTCATCCAACTTATCATGCTTATGAAAAGTTAAATTCGGCTGAATTTAGACCTGCCTATATTCACCCCACTACCTAGTTGCGGAACTGTAGCTTTAGGTCTTTTTGATAGTTTTTGACAATTTGTGGACCATATGGTAAAATCAAAAAAGGACCATAAGAGTTACGGTTCCGCAGCTACCCACTACCATGACTACAAGTCTAGTCAGCATGCTACCATTGAAGTTTTTATTTATTCTAAAATTAGACACTGTCAATACAATTTGTTGTAGTGTACCTAGAAATTGATCCTGCTTCTTCAAAAGTGGAGTAATTTAATTTCAACTTATTCAAATTCTGGTCAATTGTTTCAACCATTCTTCTCGCAACATCAGATCTGTACTCTCGTCTTCTTGTAAAATGTTCGTCTTGAGATTCCTCAAATATAATACCATGCTTATTTGTTGATATCGTAAAATCAATGCAGTCTGTAAGGTAATTAATTAAACTTTCGCAATCGTCTGAAACATCTTTACAAATAAACGGGACGCTATCTAAAACTTCTAACGGAGAGGTAAAACTATTTTTGGAATATGAAATACCTAAAGATTTTAAGTTTTGTAAATGCCAACACGAAACATTAGTAGGCAAGCCTTCGCTTTTACAATTGGATGTTAGCGCACCTTCAAAGTCGTGTTTTCTTTTGAGAGCTGCCATTTTTAAAGTGCTTAATATCATGTTTGTTCGCCCTAAATACTGTCGCCCTAATTCTGCCTCGTCCTCTTCTGTGTTCACATGCAGTTCGTCAGTGAGTTTTTTTGAAATACTTCCATAATATAAATAACACATAGCCGTGAGGTGAGGGCGATAGATCAGATTATTACTCCGAGAAAACATTGTCAACCGAGGCGAAGCCAAGGTTGAAAATGTTGGGTTTTTTCCTCGATGGGTGACAAATCTGCCTTATCACCCGGCCCCTCTAAGCTATGTGTTAATTGATTTATTATTTATAGAATAACTAATCGAAGAATTCAAATAGAGAAAAATATTCAACGAGTGACCGAACAACACATTAATTCACGAATGCGCGTAGCGCATGAGTTAATTATCAGTGTTGTTCGGTCACGAGTTGAATATTTTTCGATATTTGAATTCTTTGATTAGTTATTCTTTTCATTACATTGGCAAATGGCTTTTTTAATGAAATTAATGTAGAAAATGTAAGGAACTTTATCTTTTTTCTACGCATTCACAATTTGTTTTGATCCGACGTTATCGACGTCTTGACAACGCCTATTGGTGAATGACGTCAGAGAGTGAAATAACCACGTTTATTTCACATGTGAAATTATCGGTTTTTATTTAACTGGGAAATCAATGTAATTCATTGCTACCAATGTAATAAACTGATTTATCTGTTAGCGTTGTCTTTTAAATTTTATATGAAAGTGATAAAACTATAACTTCATGTACATAACGTTATGTTGACAGTCTATGAAAAAAAACCTTAGCCATCATGACCCTAAAAAAGTTATTAAAAATATACGCAAGCACGGAGATAGATATTTCATTTTTCATTGATTTTAAAATAAGGAGTAAAATGAAATGGATGATGCTATTATTAGTGTTTTTCTTGATTGTTAATAAGCAATGCACCAGTTTCGTTGATAATCAATATACGCGGGTGTATGACAAACATCTTTTTTTGTGTTTCGTGCCAGTCTGATGAGTTAAGCCATTTCGATTCCAACTAATTTTTACAGTTTGTCATATTAGTTTTTTGTTTTGTCATAAACCAGGCCTTTTGTGGTTTTTTTTTCCCGTTTGAACTGTTTCACATTTTGTCATGATTGGACCTTGTGTAAAAGACGATACGATATGGGTTTTGTTCAATGTTGAAGACCGTATGGTGACCTAAAGTTTTTGAACTCTGGTGGATAGTTGTCTCATTTGTAATCATACACCATATCTTTTTTCATATTAGAGATACACACATTTCTTATAATAAGACCACTATTAACAAGATATGATTACAACGTTCTTTCTTTTTCTTTTACAACGTGAATTCAAGTACGATTTCCAGTTTGATGGCAAGTCTAACAATACTTAATTTTTAGGAAAACGTATTTTTACAGTTTGTCATATTAGTTTTTTGTTTTGTCATAAACCAGGCCTTTTGTGTTTTTTTTCCGTTTGAACTGTTTCACATTTTGTCATGATTGGACCTTTTGTAAAAGACGATACGATATGGGTTTTGTTCCCATAGTGAAGAGAGTCCCTGTGACCGTTGATACTTGGTGCGTTGCCAACGGGCAAGACTCTGTTCATCTACCAGACGCACTTGCCTCGAAACATTTTTGGCTTCCTTAATGAGCGCTGGAACCATCTTGTACAAGTGGAGTTTGATGGCATTTGAGAAGTTTTAAGAACTTAAAACAAAAACAAAGTTTGTATGTATCAGCTTGGGGATCGGCTTGTACCGTTGTGTATGTAACTATTTGTTATTACACAGGATGAAAGACTTGTTAAGATCACAGTCAATTGAAAGAAAGTGCTAATTACTGCTGATTAATGTTGATGTCTGTTGATTGTACTAGATTCTGTTATATACGTTTTTATTATAACTATATCCATTAATCTTGAAAACTTGTAATGAAAACATAATCAACATAGTTGTTTTAAACTCATCTGAAGAAAATATTTGTCAAAGGCCTTTTTTTTTACCGTACACCTTTTACATTATGATAAAATTCATAAACATTTATGAATTACAATTAATATATATCTTTATTTTTACTCCTTATAAATATATTTTTTTATTGGGCCGGATCGACTTAAAATATGGGCCGGATCGACTTTAAATATGGGCCGGATCTACGTGGGACGGATCGACTTGGGCTGGATCGACGTGGGGCCGGATCGACATGAAAATGTGCATTCAGTGTAATTATTTTGTTATTATCTTGCAATAAAAAATAATGGATACTCATATAACTTGTTTTTTATCTACACACAACTATTCAAAATATTGTCAACTTTAAAAAAATATATTGACTATATTCGATATTACAAAATAAAAAACATGTATTATAGAAGCCTCTGATGTTACCTGAAAAAAAAATACAATTAATTATTATAACACATAATACCAAACAAAAGATCAAACTATAAAGACCTTGTTGATTACGTAACTTTAATCAATCAGGATTTGATTGAATTAAGTGATTACGAGTGGCATTACCTTAGTTCACAATCATTAGACAATTGTTGAATAAACAAACCAATTATAGACTAATGATTTGATTAAACAAGTCATTATGATGAGTTAAATTTTAAAGGTTCCATTGGACTGTAAATATTTATTTAGCTATTCTGTGTGTGAATTAAATAAAATAAAAATCGCCATGACATTCAAAGTTATCATGGAAAATAACTTCATATTAAAATATGTTGAAGCTGCTATACAAACAGACACAATCACACTCATTTTCGTATCGATGTAAAATAATTCTTTGACTGGTACTTCAACTTACCTGTTGTCATCCATCAACGATACTTTTTACAAATTCCATTTATACTGTTAAAATTTGTCACAAAATCCTCCAAAGTCAATATAGTTTATTCATATTTTATTATGGGGCCGGATCGACGTAGGGACGGATCGACGTGGGCCGGATCGACTTGGGATGGATCGACTTTGGGCCGGATCGACTTGGGGCCGGATCGGTTTGGGGACGGAACGACCGGATTCCATAATTAACCGTATGCATTATTTAATAAAACATTCAAAATAGTTATGATCGAGTTCCGGACTAATAAAATTAAAAGAGAAAGAACGAAAAAGATTCCAAATTCTTCAAACAATTTTTGTTTGAAAAATCCAACTACATGAATGTATACGAAACACTTTTGATCTAAAATGAATTGAAATTTGAATAAAGAGATATTTGATTTATATACGACATTAAAAAAAAAAAGAGAAGATACCAAGGGGCACTCATAAGTTATAAATCAAATAAAAACAGACAACACTGTGGCACCGTGGCCAAAAAGTATAAAGAGATGACGGAAAACAATAACAAAATACTAAACAGAAAACCCCCAAAATTGAGCAATGCTAATTAACCATGGCCACTGAAATGCTGGAGTAAACTCAGGTGCCCGGAAAGGGTAGACAGTTCATGCTCCACTAGCGTTATTTTTCTTGTTACTCAATGCAAGTATAAAAACAGTGACATGTATCACAATCGAGGAAAAGAGGACTGGATTGTGGTTTCGACAAGTGGAATATATCAGTGGTCATCGAATTTTGATGGCGTTTGTATTTAAATATTTGCACTTTACCATTTTGAACCCTTTACGCAATAGATACATTGTAATCAGCAATCCTTTAGAAAGAAAATTACAATGATAAACACAGGCCGTGGAATATCATATCAGCTGGGATATACAAAGTCCCTATTCGCTACTGGAATGCTGCTAAGCAGAAATGGAAAGTTTGCAAGGGAAAATTGAAATAATTTTCTTTTGTCGTAAAGTGTTGTTTTCAACCGAACCTCTTTGTCAATTTCTTGATGTAAAACATGTAGAGATATGAAGTATCTAGTATGGTATCATTTTTTAAAGTTATATGAGATAGATGAAGTCAACATAGTCACCAATTTTGAATTATTCAATGAGAGGCATCTTCTATATAACATAACGTAAAGTTAAAGGTTAGTGCCAGTTTTATTTTCATTTCTCTTGAGACGCTTCATTTTGTTTTGAAGTCTTCCTTATAATTATAAGTATAAGTCAAAAATATTTTGCTAATAAAACAATCTTGATGATGTTATGCAGTTTCAGTTAAATATTTGTTTAAATCGAAGTGGTGTTTTTTTTTAAAGAATGATGTGTCATTTTTTGAAACAAGATATTTGCATATGCCTTGTCCATTCTTTTTTATAAACAAAGCTGGACTTGCTCTTTTAATATGTCTTCAAGTTTAGAATTAGAAACATATTTTGTTTGGCACTTATAGCTGATTCACACCGCCCATGCGAAGGTAGCTTCCGAAAAAAACTTTATAAAAAACCATAGGACATCCAGCCGGGGGTTCAATCAATCTGATTAAAATTCTGATCTATCGTAACTCGCGTCTTATGAGCATAACGAAATCAGAGATCAATCTAAATTAGATTTAAGCTCTTCAATGATAGACAATATACAAGTACAGTTTGCTAATGGGCTAATCTTCTGCCATATGCATTGATGTTTTCAGATGTTATCATATAACTGTTAAAATATTTTCACACCATGAAATTTGCATTTGTATTTAATTATTTGACTACGGAAAATCTCTAATCGTGACTACTTCAGGACATTTTTTCAAATAAGTTTTGGTGTATGATACTTGGTAAATTGTCTTAGTTGTTACAGGCACTTGTCTCTGCAAAAAAAATAGCTATATAAAATACTTGAGAATGGAAACGGGGAATGTGTCAAAGAGACAACAACCCGACCAAAGAGCAGAACACAGCCCAAGGCTATCAATGGGTCTTCAACACAGCGAGAAAATCCCGCACCTGGAGGCGGGTTTCTGCTGGCCCCTAAACAAAAATACCTTTAGTTAATATAAAAGATAAAAAAACAATAATGTAAATAATATATTTTATATACTTTTAAAGATATCTTATAAACAAAACAAGATATCTAATAAAGTATTTGTTTAAATGATATCTTATA